TGTATTTTTTATTTTAAACATTACTTGATGGCCTTTGTGGCAGGGATTGAGATCCATATTTCATGTCTCACACAGAGTATACATCTAGATAGATAGATGGATAGATAGATGTTGCAGTATCTATAACAACCCAAACACACAGGATTTCAGAATTAGACATCCCCAGTTATTAATTTCATATACTCACCAGATCTGAATGCCCTGTTAAAAAACTTCACATAGCGTTCCCCCCCGATGTCATTTACATTGAGTTGCAATAAATGCAAAACTCTCTGTAGATTCTTGTCCTTGTCTTTCACTCTATTCAGCTGGCTTTTGAAACACACCGCGAGAAGGTGGGGGGCTGGGTGGTGAGGGTTACGGGGATGAGAAACGCAAAAGTAATGCAATAGTTACTTTTACGAGTAACTAGTTACTTTTATTGTGGAGTAACTCAGTTAGTAACTCAGATACTTTTTGGGAGAAGTAACTAGTAACTATAACTAATTACTTTTTCAAAGTAACGTGCCCAAAACTGTTGACAACTGAGAGCAGCTGGAGTGAGGAGACTGTCCACTAGCCTCTGATGGCAATTGCACTGACAGGCCCAGCGACAGCACCCGCAAACCAACCTAGCGTGTACCCAGGGCACCCTGCCTGTAGCTCATAGCAAGAGCATGGTCCTGAAGAGCACTTTCATATCTATTCTTGAAGTTTAACCCAACCATATTTTAAAGAGTGTTATTTTCAACTTTTATCCATTTTGATCTTGTGTTCTTTGTGTCATGGATGTGGAGAGCTGTTCAGTAACATTTTAATAGTATAATAATACAGTTATTTCCTTGTGGTTTGTGTAAAAGGACTTTGAATCTAATATAGTCATGTTTGACATAAACTCAGTGACACAGGTTCATACTTGTGTACCAAATCTATGTTGTTATAGTGTTATTGTGACGTAATTGATAGCGCATATATTCACCTGAGAAATGATGATGGCTCATGGTGTTACAGACCTTAGTTGTGTGCACTGAAGTGCATATGGCAGTAAAATCATGAATCTCAACTATCTATTTATTTATTTGTATTTTAAATAGGCCTATAGGCTCAGAGGTCTTTTGTCCAAAAAGAAAACAAAACAAATTTTCACAGCACCCAGCAACCCTTTTTTGTGGATTTCCTGATAGTAAAGAATTGCAATAATCCAGCCTTGAAGTAAAAAATGCATGGACTTCATTCATCTCCCTTCTTCCTTTACGTCCAGTACCACCATTGTCCAGGCCTTGGGTGAAAGACATTTCCATCATAATATATCTGCCCATACTATCATCATCATTAGCAATGCT